TACCGTATTTACGCATGTATAGGCCGCGTGCGCGTATAGGCCGCAGCACAATTTTCAGACAGAAATTATAGAAAAAATAATTTTCTTGGAATATTATTTCAGGAGTATTACACCCTGTATTACTAATTATGAATATATTTTTTTTTAAATGAAGTGTGATTTCGAATATTTCGAATATAAGCCGCACCCCAGTTTTCCTCTTGAATTTTTGGCAAAAAATGTGCGGCCTATACATGCGTAAATACGGTATACGTTGCTGTTTCATCACCAAAATCCAGGGCAAAATCATAATATAAAGATAGGAAACAGATGTTTTAAAAATGTGGCACAATTTAGATATTTGGGCACAATGATAACAGATCAAAACCTGATTCAGGAGGAAATTAAGAGGAGACTGAACTCGGGTAATGCTTGCTACCATTCAGTCCAGAACCCTTTGTCTTCTCGTCTGCTGTCCAAAAACATAAACATTAGAATATACAAAACTATAATGTTGCCTGTGGTTCCGTGTGGGTGTGAAACTTGGTCTCTGACATTAAGGGACAAACATAGAACAGGGTGTTGAGGAGAATATTTGGACCGAAGAGAGATGAAGTGACAGGAGGTTTGAGAAAACTGCATAATGAGGAGCTTCATAACTTGTACTCTTCTCCAAGTATAATTAGAATGATCAAGTCAAGGAGGATGAGGTGGGCAGGGCATGTAGCACGAGTGGGGGAGACAAGGAATGCATATAGGATATTGGTGGGAAAGCCAGAAAGAAAGAGACCACTGGGAAGACCAAGGCGTAGGTGGGTGGACAATATTAAAAAGGATCTTAGAGAGATAGGATGGGTTGGTATGGATTGGACTGATCTGGCTCAGAATAGGGACCAGTGGAGGACTCCTGTGAACACGGAAATTAACGTTCAGGTTCCATAAAATGCTGGGAAATTCTTGAGTAGCTGCAGCTCCTCCAGAAGGGTTCAGCTCCATGAGTAAGTAAGTTAATGTGACGATTCAAGAAAAAGGTCCAACACACAAAATATCACTGTCTTCTCCATCTATCTTAAAATGAAACGTTTTTTCCAGAACTATGCATCTTTTCCTTATTCATTTAAACATTCATGTTTTTATTAGTCTTATATACTGTAACATGTTGCGCAAAGGAGAACCCCCCCCTGTCAGCAGTGACCTCTAGCATTGCTAGCAACACAGCGCCAGGCAACAAGGGTGCCTATTACGTGGCCGTATTGTCCGATCGAGGCTACATAAGGAGCAGCGAAGGCTATTCACAGTTAGTTGTACTGTGACAGTCGCCAAGTGCGTTATCAACGACTTCTCAGTTCGCAAGTTACGAGCTACAGCCGCGTGTGCGATAACCAGTGATAACCAGTCATATCTGGAGTGTGTAATTCAGGGAGACTTGTATAGCTCCCGCATTATTAGTACGTGAAGACTCTCGAAGAGAGTGTTAAGAGATTTTGTTCTAGGGTTTGTAAAGTGTGGAAACCCGTAACATTGTGATAATTAATTGTAGCCGTTGTTTGAAGATTGTTAAATAAACCAATTAACCATCTCTACGGCGTCTTCAGTAACGAAACACGTTACAATACTGTAATATGTTTTCACTACTCTGTATAAAGAAAGGTTTTACTGAAGTAAAATCTCATCAGACCCACATTTCCTAGTTCTTTGATGTGAATCTTGTTTCAGGTCAAACTTATGAATGATAAATGTGATCTTTCTTGACTTTCTAAAATATGGGTATAAACAGGGGTGTCCATACAGTATGGCAAGTTAGCGCAGCTACTGCTGGCCCCACACATTCATGTCAGTATTAAAGGAGAGATTGTTACGGAAGGACCACCAGTGTACAGGTATAATTCTCTATTGCTAAACTCACCTCTTAAATGGATCAGTGGTGTTTCTTATATGTCGGCGATACTGGAACTTTACCAGAGTTTCTAGCCGAGAACTCAGCTTCTTGTCTTTGCTGTTAACCAGTTCTTCCAATACTGAACAGAACTCATCCATCCCTGAGCTAAACAGAAAAGAAATGACACACTACTCACATAACCAGCAACCAAATAACTCTAACTAGTAATGAACTCAAGAGTTCAATGGCGCTAAAACAAAGCCTATGAATGGACACAATCCTGAGTCAGTTCTATCCGTCTCCCCTCCTCACATTAAATTTCCACAATATCATCCTGATCACTGATACGTGATTGGGTGACAAGACATGGGTTTTGGATTGATAACTCAGTTTATTGCACACTTTGATACAGTGTGTGACTACACTTTATGGTTCACTATTACACACACAATAGCATCCACAGTCATATCTTCATTAGCCATTGCTTGGTAGCAACTTCCAATGGTGGATGTTCCCCTTCCTCTGGGTTCCTGAACGGTCCCTGGCCTCAGCTACCAGCTTCTAAGAGCAACAGCTCACAATGACTAAACCCCAGCAGTTCTCTGACTAACTCACCCACAAACCAACTCATTAACTTGTCCTGCTTATGGACCGCGCACAGAACACTGTTCCTTTGTTGCAGTAAAATTTAAGTAAATAAATGATATGATTAATTTATGTTTTTCTCATTTCAATTGTGTCCTGACATTTGCCCTGCTGTATCATGACTTTCTTGCTTGGTTTCATTCCATAACTTAGTTTTAGCTATCCACTTATTTTATTTATATGGAAAAGCAAGGGAAAACCCTTGCCAAAACAGGTTTTGTAGTCAAGAATCAAGTTGCTTAACCCTTTGCTGTGCATTTACATTCACACTGTCCTGATACTATTATATCATTTAATTGGGCCGCACCCTAGTTCAAGCGGTTAGTTGCCAGCTTCCCACCGTGGTGGCCCAGGTTCGATCCCGGGTCTGGTCAAGAGGGATCTGTGGTGGACAAAGTGGCACTGGGGCAGGTTTTTTCTGAGTACTACGGTTCCCCTGCCAATCTTCATTCCATCAATTGCTCCACAATCACCCTCACCTATCATCTGGGGCTGGTACAATAGGCCAGAAGTGGCCGCAGTACAAGGGATTTAGTCCCACCCCACTAGCAATATAAAAAATATATCATTTGATTTAAGCTATATATTAGTACAAGTGCATGAAGAGGCTTTTAATTTCACAGTGTTCTGCTGTATTAGTCATAGCAGAGGATTCATATCAGGTAGACCAAATCTGAAATATACAGCAACAGTGTGATTTCTCAGATTTAATGTGTGAAGAGTTTTTATTACTGGGTACTTTTCGGTTCCTATAAAATACTGTAGCATGTACAAAACCATTACTAGGTTATGGCACAGTAAATAATTGTTCAGTGTAACACTGATTCCATACACAACAGAGGAACACATCGCGTCCACGGTGATGTCATGCAACAATAGGAGAGTTGCAGCGTGTTGCCACATGATCCAGCACCAGGCAGATAGTGCTACTGCAATGAAACACGTGATACCAAGCCACCCACATCACAGAGGAATGGTGTTTTCTCTTTGGTCTACTCTGACACTATATTGCTCAACCGACTGAGTTCAGTTCAGTAAGTGGAGTGGAGTGAGTTGGTTGGTGAGTTGTGAAACAGGTACCAGCCAGTAAGGATGTGAAAAAAGCTGAGGAAGCTACAACATTGGAAGCCATTACCAAGCAACAACAGGTGACTATACAACAGATTGAGAAGACTTAGTGCATGTTATTATAAATTGCTGAGTGTGTCAATTAGCAGCAGGGCTACAGTTATTAGTAGTTTCATTCTGTAAGTGTTCAATAAATCTCATTACCAATCCCACCCCATCTATAGTCACCCATACTCCATGGTTTTAGTCCACAAGTGAATTATATCTACCGAGCGACTGCCACTTGTCGGCGAAGTTAGCGCCAACTTTAGCGCATAGACGGTGTTGCATGGTCAGCGCAACAAATCCCCATGGCCGTTAATTTCAGTTTTCTAGACCGGAGCCGCTATTTCCTTGAAATAGCTCCTCAATTATATCCTCACAAGGCTGAGTGGACCCCATTCCAGACCCAATACTTCTCGGAAAATCTGGTAGCACTGGGAATCAAACCCAGATCTCTGGATCTGTATCCAGGAACTCTGACCACTAGACAACAGAGGCGGTCTACAGTCACTTATACACATGACAATATAATTTAGAAGAATAACGACATTTACAACCTTACCCAGCTTGTCTGGCGCAGTACAATGCTGCAGCTATGTCACCGCAACGAAGACAATAGTAAACCAGTGGCCAGAATGGTTGATCTTCCACGGTGCCATCTTCTAGACCTGTCATGCCCGGTGGAACTCGGACTGCAACAAAACTACGAACCAATGGAAATGTTCCAGGTACACCACCTCGACGAGCTTGCTGGAGGTTTCCCATCACAACACTGGTCATATATGTCTTGTATCTGAAACATACACCACCCAGAGACTGACAAACACTCAGCATCTTAAAAGAGCACCATTCAATAAATTAAACAAAGAATTCATAAAGGCACTGCTCCATTAAGATGAAAATGTACTGCTTGTGAAAGCACTGTGGTAGTTTACTGCATGATCAAAGAGTCAACAACACAGAACTTTCCCCTACATGAGACACTGACTCTCATGTCAGTCTCTCTTTGCATAGAACTTCATAACTGATTACTGTACAATTGCAACACATACTTATATTTTACAACACCTGATGAAGTGAAATCCTCTTGCCTTGCAGTATGTAAACAAGTTTTACAACAGCTTCTGAAGTTCATCCTTGGAAACTGAAGCAATTACACGTTATTTTGTTCTAAAGGGCTTCAGTTGTGCAACGGTTATTCTCATACATTTTTCCCTTCAAGCACCCCTAAAGATGATGATAATAAGTAAGATTAAGGGTGTTATGTGATGGAGACTTTTGCTGAATATTCTGTTCTCAAACACCTCATATATGACAGCCATCAACTTGTCAGCAGTATGTACTGTAGTGTTATCATGCTGGAAAACACTTACTGTCTTCTTTCAGCTGTTAACAGGTTGAAGAACAGATTCAATGTATCACTCTCACATATCATTCTACATTCAGTATGCTGAAAAAATATTGAGCCAATTATTCGCTGCACACTTATAACACACCACACCCCACTTTACACTATGTAATGGCACCTGTTGAATGGCATGAAGGTTTTTTTCATTCGATATGCATATATTTTGGGTACTGACATGACTAACTATGACAGTGGTTCTGAACTGAGGTTCCATGGACCCCCATGGGGTACATGAAGCCATATCAAGTGCCACATGAGATAATTTCATACAAAGCCAAAATACTTAGGAGGACTGAACATACATATTTTTTTAATACTGAGTAATGACCCTGTACATCGAACAATTATATATGAAAAATTACATTTAAACAACTTCAACAGTGATAGCTGTAACGATGCACTGGATGCAAATGACAACCACACCTCAGTTACAAACAGCAGCCGTGTAACCATGGCTTTGACACATTTTGCAGCAACCAGCCAAAAAAAATATTTTTTGTTAAACAATCATGTTATTTAAGCTCATACACATATATAACTTTATATGGGTGACATTCAGTTAGTCCTGTGGCTGTGAATGGAGATCCCAGCAAAAGACCACTCTCTTATGCCAAGCATCTTGATTTGTAAAGACTCATTTTTAACCATGCCTGAATTTCTTGAGCCTTTTTCTTCAGTTATCACATTCATCTTGGATTCTACCTTTTTGTCACAAACTGAGTATGTCACAATTTTTGATGCACACAACTGTGTGGAAAACTTGTTCCTGTGGGTATTCATGAGTGAACCTCTGAATGCACTACCTATAAGTTTTCTCTTATGAAAGATCTGACTGTGAAAACTTGAAAGATGAATCACATACCTACCTCACTGCAATAGTAACAAAACTAGGTCTTAAGACAAAAAGATACGAGCAAGCAGAACCTTCATTCATTACCATACCAATCACACAATGTTTGTTGACTGTGTGAATGATTTGTCATATCAGCATGTGATGCAGCGATTGCAGTCAAAACATACAGTGATCAGTTTTCTTATACAGTAGAACTTGGTTATAACGTCATCAAAGGGACCTAAAAATAGTGTCGTTATAAACGAATGTCGCTGTAACCGAAATGGGCACTTCCACAGTAGCCTTATGTTAGTCACGTAAAAATCTACCAAAAAACCGAGTTAAAATGTTGCATTTTTTAGTGAAATACCTAGTTAAGTACAGACTAACGTAACATTAACGTGGAATTGCCCAAATGTGTAATATCAAAGACATATTACAGCGCTTTTCACTGACAATACACACCGCACTAATACTGTATATTAAAGGTAGGCCTACTCACCAAATTACAGTAGATTACATCAATTGTTGTGCCTTACTGTACCTAGATACGAGTACAGTAATCAGTTATCTTCATCTGTTTCCTGTTACTTTCCCAATACACACTTTCTAAATTACGTTCAATGTCCATATCAGAGAAATTCAGGAATGAAAATGACATTACATACGAGGTTGATGCATTTGTGCATGTCGTACTAAGCAAGGTATAAAAAGAGTTGCTTTATGAGGAATTAGTTCGTACCATTGAATATTTGACGCAATAGACAAGGTGTCGCAGAAACCGATGTTGCTATAACCAAGTTTTACTGTATTTCCTTCTCATTCAGCCTCATACCAGTTACATGTTATTAAGATACAAGATTAACACATAGGTAACTTCCAAAAGACCCAACTGCCACAAAGAAAACACAGTAAGACAACAGATCAGTAACATACATAAATTACTGGCAAGCTGATGATTCAGTTTATAAAACAGAGCAGGAATGAGTAAATTATTACGCAAATAAAAAGAAACAGGAGAGGTGATATTTTGTAATACAGTCTTCATAACATCCACTGTTAAATGAATGTTACAATGCTACTGAATACTGCAGCATGGGGTGGGTATTTTGTTTAGTTCACTGAAGTTTGGAGAAATTTATGCATGATGAATAAGAAAAGACCTTGCATATTATAGATTATTTATAACACAGAGGTCTTCAATCTCTCTTGACTCCACTTCTAGCATGTCTTATACCATCCCGACAAAAATCAACTGTTTAAGTAAGAGTTTCGAAATAAATATATTAACAAAATAGCAAATGCACATACTTACTTTCCAAGAACCACAAAAATTATGAAAACATACTGTCACGTCTTAGTGACAAAACATGGGATTTGGATTGATAACTGGATTTCCTGGAAGCATTTAACTCGTAACTACAAAGACATATAACACACTACAAATCACTATAGTAAACACTCTGAGTCTTCTCAGTCTGTTATGTATTCACCAGCTGATGTTGGGTAGTGACTTCTGCTTATGGCCACCACCAACTATGACTGCTCACTCACAACTGCTAACTATCGACTCTGACCTCCTACTGACTAATTATTCCTGTTGGTAATTGTTATATAGACTTGGTTTTTACCAGTAGAAAGTTCTTTTACAAGGAGCAAATGATCTTTAATTTCTGAGATTCGTTCAGAGGTGAAGCCATTTCACAGTTAAACATGACTAGTAGGAAGCCAAACATGAATATCGCCTTAATATTCACATTTGAAATCCATAAATTCAATTTCATTTGTAAAGACTTAACTCTTTCATATAAAACAAGGCACTTGAATTGTGCCATTGCAGCTGGTCAAGAAATCCCCTGCCATTTATGAGAGAGGGGCAGTGCTACAATGAATTTCACCATGTACATCATATGTGAAAAATAATTTCAACATCTTAACACTTTGCAGACCTGCACCCTGGGGACTGGCATTTTTATACCTACTACCCTAACTTGTGCACTGTTCACTTTAAAAATTAATATAAAATCTCTTAATTAGTTTTATGAACTAAAATTTTTGGAAAACACTTACCAATGCTCCTAGAAGTGCTTGATAGTGTGATATTTCTGGAAACATTCCCCTTTGTGAAGTGGCATTACACACTTGCAAATGTAGAGTGTCATAGTCCTTTTTTTGTGAACTGCACAAACACAGAATTGCCTAGAAGGATGCTTCCCCTTGGAATGTTCACACTTCACAATTTTCACAAAGGTATGTTTCCACATATCACCCGAGAGTTGCACAGGGGTGTCCACGTGAGGCCTGTGTGGGGTGGAAGTTGATGGGCTAGGTCGCACTAAGTCTGTCTGACTCTGGTTCTGCCACCACCATCTGGTCTGTAGCCCAGGCCTTTCCCACATTTGTCAGAAATGCTTTATATTTCAGTTTTGAATCAGGGTTTAGATTTTTGTAAACCAAAAATGAATTGAAAATGGCACAATTTATAAGCCACAAGGCAACTTTCACTTTTATTATCTGTGGCCACAATTCTTTGTTGACCTCTGTCACTTCCATTGTCTGAGTCACTAATCACTATTCCTCCACAAGGCACGTCAGATAGCTGATCAGAAAACAAGTCAGAGAGATCACTTTGCCTTCAACCGCTTTTGTCCTTGAAACACATTCCGCTCTACTAACTTCCTGCCTGGTAAATAAGCAGCTGGAAGGGGCAAAGTTTATTTTCTTTTGGAGTAGGGACCCTAGCCAGTCAGGTCAGTTACTGAATACCTAGCATACATTCCGAAGATTTATTACGCAGTATTCATTGCAGTTGCGTGGTGCCAGAGCAAAGTATAGTGTGTTACAACCTGTCCTAAAATCATGATATCATGAGACCGGTCTGCCATGTTTAAAAGCGAAAAGCATCATGCGTCCGGGCCGCAAAGTGTTAAAACTGTCAAATTTTTGCATATACAGTGAAACCTCGATCTATCGTTTTCCCGGATCCATTGTTCAATTTCTGTGGTCCCTGAATAAATCCTATTTCAACTATGGAAATAAAACCCGCATCGATCGTTCTTCAATTTATCGTTTTCCCGCATCTATCGGTTGGAATTCTTGGTCCCCATGAATGTTAATCCTGCATTGATCGTTTTTAAGAAAGTGCAACACCACACAAATGTTGGTAAGCACTGGTAGTAGTAAAAGTGGTTGATGTTTTTGAAACGTGGTGTAGAAAGTTGCAGTACCGTCAAAATGTGTGGTATGCAACCTTGAGCGCATCTTACCTGCAAAACAATGAGCATGAGTGATAAGGGGATGCCAAGAGCCTTCCAGCTAGAAAAACTTTCCTGTATGTTAGTGTGAATTGTGTGAATCAACTCAGTTCGTGATTTTGCCTGGTTGAGTATACAGTCCATCACGTGTTTGTTCCTCGACGTGCTTCGTATTATTGTTAGCGTCATCAACAATTTTCTCCCACATGGCGTTTCCTGTGAAAAAAGTTCGGACTTTAGAAGAACGACTGCGCATTATAGAAGAGGTGGAAAAAACCCCATCAAAGAGGACTGACATAGCCAAGCGACTAGGCCTGCCACCATCAACCCTAAATTCGATTATCGCAAAGAAAAGGGAGATCAGAGAGCTGGCTGATAAGTGTGGTACGTCAGCCAAGAAGAGGAAGAAGGGCAAGGTGATGGTGGTGATGACGATGAAGCCGAGTCCGAACCATTGCCCAGTTTTACGGAAGCACTTCATGCATTTGAGTCAGTGAGAGCGTTCATATATGCTCACGACATCACCGAAAGAGACCAAGCGAACATTGTTAATATTGAAAGATTATTATTCAGCTTGAAAACGAAAGGTGCTACTAAACAAATGAAAATGAATGACTTTTTTAAAAAGTAGTAACACAAATTGGACTTGACAGTGGAAATATTATCACTGGTTTATGTTTTTTGATTTAGTTAATACATATAGGCAGATGTGACCGTTTTCATTCATTTTATATAGGCCCCGCATCTATTGTTTTCCCGCAACCTTGGTTTTTTTCAGGACCCCAGATGAAAACAATGAATCGAGGTTTCACTGTAATGGCAGCATAACTGAACACATTGTATTGTTACTAGAATGAAACTGAGACTTGACAAACCTGTCTTCTAGATATTTCCTGGCTTGAGAAATGAGGACATTTCGAACCTGTGGTATCACTCGGGAAGCTAAAGGATCACCTGTTGCTCTTGGAGGAACTTCTGACATATAGCGGATCATTTCCCATAACTCACTCACTTTCTAAACAAAAGACATAAATAACAGTTTGTCAGACAGAACTCACTTTTGAATACATAGACAATGTAATTGAAATAGCATCATTCAATAAATGAACTAAAACAGCAATTTACTTATTAGAGGTGAAGCGATTAAAATTTTTACATGTTATTCGCATAAGTGTATAAAATGCACACACATATTCCACGCAGGCATCAGATATTTTAAACATACGTACAAACAGACGGCATGGGCCTCTGAGCCTATAAGGTTACCAACTGAAATTACAAGTATGTATGAAGGAAAATCAAGTATTGCAATATTTTATAAGTTTTGTTGTTTTCTGAATTTAAGCAGGAACTAGAGAAACATCATTAATTCTTTGGAGAAGTGTTTGCTAGTAACTGAACATCCATATTGTATGTTTTCTTTTCTATGTGGCAGGCAAAAAGCCACACAATTTATACGAAATAATGAACTTTTGTCAATTTTCTTTAATTTTACCAAAATTTTCCATCATAATGTAACATTCACAAAACTGTTGAAACTGACAGACAGCCTCCTCTTCCTGTTACTAAAAAAAGGATCATGAGCATTATGTTCCAACAGTCTGTGTTAAATTCATACTTAAAGGAACGATAAAAAATTAATATACACCATCCTTGCAAATAACTCATGTCACTGGGATGATAAAAATAAAGTCATGTCCAAACTATTAAATTAACAGTCACACAATGAAGACATACAGAAGAAAGGGGGTATAGGTCCATGCATTCTTAAATTTATTGCCAGCTGGGGGGNTGAAAGAAAGGGGCGGTGAGTGTGCCTTTATTTTTAAATTTGTTGCCGGGGGGGGGGGGGGGGTCAGCTTCATGCTTCAGCTGCTTTACTGCTAGGAAGAAATGTCAGCATCCACTGGCTATGATGCTTGCTGGGGTCCAGAGCTGGTCTAGACATGACGGAAAAGAGAGAAACCCTATAAAAATTCAAATCATGGTCATCCAGCAGAGTTTACATATAACTGACACAGCTGATTGACAACTCAAATTCACTGCCAACACTCTGAATAAACCTTGTCATCTTTCTACAATAAACTTCCATTATTCAACAACCAAAAATTTCTAATACTCAGCTTCAGACTGTTAGCAACAGACAAGAAGGCTCTTCAAGTTTAATGTGTTACTAATTTCCGAGTGTTAAAGAGGTTAAAAGTCTAGTTGCTGAGTGAAAAAGTGACAAGTCTTAAATAAATTCACACTTCAGTGTGGTTTCATGATTTATTATCACAAGCTGTCATGATATTAAATCAAAGCAATAGATAATATGTTTAGGTAATACTGAACCTTGTCATTCAAACTGTCTGCGACTTGAGAAAACTTATCCACTAGAGATGGCCGAATGACTCCTTGAACCACAACCTTGTTGTACTCCATCACTTGTTTCGCATATGCCATTTCTTGGTTATCCAGTAGACTTCGAACTGCACCTGTTATTGTGTCACTGATAATGGAAGGCTAAAACAGCAATACATTTAAAAAGTTACTATCAGTATCTTCTGTCAACAGGTTAAAGCTGATGGAATGAAAACAGTTTTTGAAATAATATTAAAAGCTCTATCAAATTAAAAGAGTCGGACATATCACACAGCAGGTTCTAAATTTTATCAAATGCTTCTACAGTAGACTAGCGATGCTTCAAACTCCACACATTAGACTGCACTCTTTGTGGTACACATCATACAATAGATACCAATATAATCTGATATGAAATTATTCAAACTAATCTTCATTCCCTTTATAGTATTCAGTTCAGCTATTAAATTTTATTGGACAGGATTCTTTATACCACTTTGAATTCTCACATACAGTCAACTCTCGATTATCCGGGCTAATGGTGGGGATGGAAGTCACGGTTAATCGAAAACCCGGTTAAGCCAAATTTTATTATACGGGCTGGACGACTGTGAAGGGTCGGAGTTCGAGTCCCGGTAGGGTCAAGAATTTTAACTTCTCCAAATCGTCCAGACCGGCTCTGGGGTCCATCCAACCTCCTATCCAATGGGTACCGGGGGCTCTTTCCCCGGGGGTAAAGCGGCCGGGGCGTGAAGCTGACCACTCACCTCCAACTAGTGCCGAGGTCAAGAAAATTTGGATCTATACATCC